CTATACAACCTGGATAATGACACCTACCCTTCATAGAGATTATGTGACTGCCAAATAACTTAATGCATGGAAATGTAATTTGAACTCTAACTTGCTGTACATGTGTAATTTATTCCACAGTTTGGAAAATGAAAGTCTAAGTCTACCTCTTTGGAATTAGAAATGGATCAGGACATTAATAGTCAAGTTTTGTCAGACTGATTGATATGTGGACAGGAACGRCTGTCCTGTGGCCTTGTGACACCACGGAGCATTACTATCACATGAACAACCACATATGCAYTCCTCCAAAAAACTCTTATCCTTCACTTCTCCAATACCTTCCCCTTCAGTGACTTGCAGGGTCCAGCCCATTCAGCCTTGAGCCCTGAAAAGCTGATATAAAGTAAAACTGGTGTAAAGTGGGACTTTCCAAATTTCATGGGTAAACCGAGGGGACACCGTTGACATATTATTGTCTAACCACCTCCACCAAAGTAAAAATTTACTTACAGGGTTTATTTCTCTCCCCCCTTCTTTCCCTCTCTCGGTCCCTCTCATTTCTCCTTCTCTTCATCTTCATGGCCACTCACAGAGCTCTGAGCCAGCATCCAACAGTAAATGACGATCTGCCCAATCGCATAATCTCTGGCTTGGTGAAGGTGAAGGGAAACGTGAAGGAATTCTCAGAGACAGCGGCCGTATTTGAGGATGGCTCTAGGGAGGATGACATTGATGCTGTTATCTTTGCCACAGGCTACAGCTTCGCCTTTCCTTTTCTGGAAAATTCTATCAAAGTGGTCAAAAATAAGATATCCCTGTATAAAAAGGTCTTCCCTCCCAACCTAGAAAAGCCAACTCTTGCAATCAGAGGCTTGATTCAGCCCTTAGGAGCCATTATGCCAATTGCAGAGCTCCAAGGACGCTGGGCCACTCAAGTATTTAAAGGTAAGTGACAATAAAAATTCACTCCTTAATTACTTGGTGATGTTTGACTATGTTTCTGTGCTTGCTTTTAAATAGCAGTATGTTTGACCAAAATCTTGAGGGTTGCATAATATCTGGYACAAACTTAGTACCAGAAAACTTATTTTTAAGTGAATCTAAGTAGTAATATAACCATGGACATACCTTAGAATCACCTGGGTATTTCCCAGTTTAGGCATGCTTTGATCTCATTCATGGTGATACTTATTCAGTAAATCTGGGAGGGGCAGGCACAAAATTGTTCCCCAGAAGATTCCAGTGTGTACTTCAGATTACAATCCACTCATCTGAATTTTAGGCAACTGGTATGTATTTGTGAAGTAAAAGAATTTCATCTTTCATTACAGAGAATGTCAAATATAGAAATGGTGCGACTTAATTCATACAATAAGTTAACACCTGGTAGGAGATGATCCAGAATATAAAATATTCAACTTTCAAATCCTCACATCCCTACTATTCTGCGTCCCTGCATGTCCCCCCTTTGAGTTTTGGCCAGGAGTACCTGAGGGAAAACAACTTTGAGCTTTGGGATAGTAGGAGTCAGTGGGTGAGGAGGGTTCCAAAAGGCTTCATTCAATCCAGCACCGTCTCAGAACCTCGTGACAGTTCTCTAAATGGTCAGACTACCACCTAAAGACATTATAGAGTGAACCTGGGATTCACTGAATAAGGAGAGAGAAAATGGTTTAAGGAACGTGAAAACATATCATTTGAAATACAAATGAAGTTACTGGAGAAGTTTAGGCTAAAGAAGTTAAGATCTGGGGGAGATCTAAGAGTTCCCTTCAAATATTTGAAGGGATAC